GCTTGACACAAATTTCACGATTTCAATATAATTTAATTCTTGTGATTTGATGCAATATTGACTCATTTGGATAAATAGGTACACAAGGCATTCATTTTTCTCAAGAAAAAAAAAAAAAAACACCCAATGCTGTAAAAATACAGAGAGCCATATCAACTGTAAGTATTTAAGGTTAAAAATAGCTCAAATTAAATATATCAAAGTTGTTATTTGTAATAAACACGCATTATAAGTAAAAATATAATACATATGTAATATAGTAGTAGGCTACATAAATTTAGAAAAAATACTCTCTATAGCTCTTTTTTTATAGCCAACTAACGTGCTATATGGTCATGAAATGGCTTTCCTGAGGTAACTTAGGCTAAATGTTATGTGACATAATTGTTCTCCAGCTGTTTTATTGACCTCTTTTCGCGGTTGAAAAACACTGATTGATCGAGGAATATACATTTCGGTAAGTTTTAGGCTGCCCTACTTTATCTTTCAACATTGTTCATTCGTGTTTATTTACTATTAGCTAGAGATGATCGGTTCACGTGCCGCTATGGGATCTGTCATGACTCATGTCATATTTACAAGCGCCAAAACGGTATTTATTGTTTGATTTTCGTAATAAAATTGACAGAATCTTAGAGCTGAGATTTTTTAAATATCATAAGTAACGTGCTCTGTCTTGTCTGTTTCCGTGTCCTCTCTTTGGTGCGCGATATTTCTGTGCGTGAGAAAATGGTTGTGTGACGTGAGAGCGCGTGAAAAGTTACAACACACACACACACAAGCGCGCTTTCTCTCAGACACACTCACCGACTCACGCACACACTCCTGGATGCTTTGCATTGATGTGGTACTTTAGAGTTGACGAACTCCGTCAAACAATGATCCAAGCAGCGCGTTCTTGTCTCCCTCATTCTTTTTACACGAATGGTGGCTACGGCTAGAACGGCTCCACAAAGGTCAAAACGGATCAATAGATTAATCTGCGTTATTTTTTTTAACGCGTTATTTATTCTCAGATTAATTAATCGAAATTAACGCGTTATTTTGACAGCCCTAATTTATAATGTTGCAAAAGCTTTCTATTTCAGATAAATGCTGTTCTTTTGAACTTTCTATTCATCAAAGAATCCTGAAAAGAAATTGTACACAACTGCTTTCAACATTGTTGATAATAAATGTTTCTTGAGCAGCAAATCAGCAGCACATTAGAATGATTTCTGAAGGATCATGTGACACTGAAGACTGGAGTTATGATGCTGAAAAAACAGCTTTGATCACAGAAATAAATTACATTTTAAAATATATTCAAATAGAAAAGTTATTTTAAATTGTAACAATATTTCACAACATTTAGTTTTTGCTGTATTTTGGATCAAATAAATGAAGCCTTGTTGAGCAGAAGAGACTTCTTTTAAAACATAAAACAATCTTACCGTTCTAATAATTTTGGCCACCACTGTATATAAAAGTGAAAAGACCTCCAAAAGTAACACAATAGCATAATTGAACCGATCATGTATTTTTTTTCTTATACTAAGAAAACAAATATTTTTTTTGTAATCATGTAGCTACAAAATGGCAAAACAACTTCCAACACTTTAATTACAGGACAAGACATTCATGTTGGCAGTGAACTTGATTCTTTCAGTGAAAACAGAACGTGATTGTAAACTCAGTAAACCTCGTTCGACCTTATTTTGTTATATCAGGAGCCTTTGTGCAACAGTTGCTTCCATCAACCCATAGCTGGACAGCTGATATATTTTCAGTGATATTTGCTATTTTTCAGCCATGAGATTCAGTTGCGGTCCTTCATTATACTTCTGTCATAGTGATGTCAGATCTAGGTTACATGTTGTCTTTATGATCATCAGAACCACCTATGAGCTAGGGGTGGAACGGTACACAGAAGTCACGGTTCGGTTCAGACATCACGGTTCGGTACGATTTCGGTACAATGGAGTGAAAAGCAAAACAAAAATGCAGAAGGCATTTTTATACCTAAATGTCTTAAGCCTTAATTTTTTTTTACATAGATTTTATTAATAAAGGCATATAAACCAGTTTATTTGTAGTCCACTGACAATAGTTTTATACAATTAGTTTATTAATTAAATTAATAAAAAGACCTTGACTTGAGAAATGTTTGGTAAATTGTACCTGAATGAATTTAAAATTAATTTGCTATATTTCAGATCAATATATTTGTTTTCCTTAATTTTCATTAACCCGTCCCTAACTTTATTCTCATCTGAATTCTAAATGATTGATTTCTGTATAAAATAATACTACCATTAAAACACATTTGATTTTCTTTATTAATCAATGTAGAATGTGTAACTTAAAAATAAACAGATTAGTGCTGGACTCGAGGACAAGAAATGAAAACCAATGCAATATGATGAATGTCCAAAAGATGGCCCCCACAGACTGTTTTGTTGGATAAATATGTTTTGCTTTTAAAACTGTGTGTGTGTGTGTGTGTGTGTGTGTGTGTGTTTTTGGTTGGGTGACAGTTGTAGGTTACAGTTTGACAAGAGTTTAGAGTGTGACAGAAGCACAATGTTGTGTTTTATTGCGAGTGTACACAAATATAAGTAAACACTTAGCAGTTCGAATGATGTCCTGCATAAACAAAATGACGGAGTATGTTTTTATGTTTCCACTGTTCGATCGCGCCCGTGCCTCTCTCTCTCTCTCTCTCTCTCTCTCTCTCTCTCTTACACACCCACATACACACACAGTTCGATCGCGCCCGCGCCTCTCTCTCTCTCTCTCTCTTACACACACACATACACACACAGTTCGATCGCGCCCGCGCCTCTCTCTCTCTCTCTCTCTCTCTCTCTCTCTCTCTCTCTCTCTCTCTCTCTCTCTCTCTCTCTCTCTCTCTCTCTCTCTCTCTCTCTCTCTCTCTCTCTCTCTCTCTCTCTCTCTCTCTCTCTCTCTCTCTCTCTCTCTCTCTCTCTCTCACACACACACACAGTTCGATCGTGCCCGCGCCTCTTTCTCTCACACACACACACAGTTTGATCGCGCCCGCGCCTCTCTCTCGTGCGCGCGCGCACACACACACACTCCAGCATGGCAATTTTGACATCGCAGCCTGTTAATTATGCTGCGTTCACACCAAACGCGAATAGAGCAATATTTATCGCTATTTAGAGGTTTATTTATTTTTATACCTTGTATTCTCTGTGCAAATTCGTGCACCGAACCGTGAGGCCCGTACCATTTCGGTTCAATACTAATACATGTACCGTTCCATCCCTACTATGAGCCATTCTTATAATCTTTTTTGGCCATAATTAAGCAATATCATATGAGCAAGAATTAGGGCTGCACTAGCCTATATTGGAAAAAACTGGCATTGCGATATTTAGTTTTTCTTCTATGTTGAGATATAAAAACAATTTAACCAGATAATTTGAATAGGTCTATTTGGAAAGAACTAATAATTATAGAATGTTTGGGATAGTTTTGTAGGGAAGTGCATCAACATAAAAAAAATAATAAATAGATAAATACAATAGAAATACAATTGCTTTGTTTTTCATGCAAGTCTAACAACAGAAATTGACTAATCAAATATAAAATAACACTCTATAGTCTTCACTGTATTAATTAAATATAATTAATCTTTGATAAAGCCATAAAAGTGTTTTTTTTCTTTTTTTTTCTCTTGTGTCTTTTGTTGTTTGATTAGTACAGATCACCAATCAACTACTATCCCTACTTGTTATCTCACATCCTGCGATGTGGCTATTGCGGATGTACTCCTCGTCATGCCGATATATCGTGCATATATCATGTTGTTGTTCTAAATATCAGCACTTCTGTGACTTAAGCAACACTAATAGCATTTTTGAAGATTGGTTGAGTGAATAATTCAGTGACTCACCCATAAAGACCTGCAGAAAGATCTAGAAAGCCGCTCAGTCACTCATATTCAAGGAATTTAACTAACGCTTGTAGTCCAAATAATTGTTCTATATTGTAGGTTTTCCTTTCTTTTAGTGTTGTCGAAAGACCCAGTACTTCGGTACCAAGTCGGTACTTAAGAAAAGCTGGTACCGTAACGGTTTAATTTTTTATGTACCGGTGGTACCGATCCGAAGTACCGGGTTAATCCAGTTCTTGTTGCGCTGTCCGAAAGGTGCACAGTTGCATCCTCTTCATAAAAACACTGAGACATGGCGACCTTTGCTATTAGTTATATTCATGGAGATGAGAAATAAAAAGCCGCCCTGTACAGCTATGATTGATCAGCTTTTCGGCCGAGCTTTCGATGTTGTTACTGAAAGGCCGAAGCTGAGCAGTTGGTTTTTGTCACATGACCTGTCGAAATGAGATGTTTTCATAATTACTTTCCTCTTTATTACTTTCCTCTTTAGTACCATTTTCTTTAATAATGTTTTCTGGTCTAAAGCAATATCAGATGTTATTCTAACACAGCAAAAAAGAGAGCAAATGCATAATCGGGGGTCCTGTTCCCCAACCTCACTTAAGCTGTTTGCATCACTGGTGTTTCTTATTCCCCTCTTCCGTGTCTTCTTAGCTTTGTGCTGACAGTGTGGCAAAGCATGCATCTTTAACTAAGTGTAAAATGTGTCTAGTCTGCTACTTTCAGAGCCCTCTGCTCGGTGGAATATCTTTTCTCGGGCGTAATCCTCGGCACAGTCATTCTAATGTGAGACCGGCCTTCACCGTTACCCACTATGACAGTGACGGCCTATCCAATGCAATGTAACAGAGGCAGCCACAACTTTGTGCTCCTGATTTTGTCCATCTTTAAAGCTCAGCAAATTATACTGGAAGTTGAAATGCTTTTATTTTAACAATATTAGGTTACCTGGAAGATTTTGGTTTTATTTGGACCTTAAGGGTATCAACATAAGGCATCCATTTAGCAAATTGCTGAATCAGACACGACAGGGAGAATGCAAACCAGTAGAGTTTGTATGTCATTAGTGAAATCTTATCATACTGTTCTGTTTCAGGTTTGGCTGTCCAATGTGTGTGAGACTGGATGAGACAAAGGCTCTATCAGGAGCCTTTGTGCAGATTGACGTGCAATTACTGAAGAGGACCTCTGGGCAGGTGAGAATTATTATTATTCTTGTATGTTTCTTGAATGTGATCCGAGTTTACTGATTGTTTCAGAGTGTTACATTTAAAGTTTAAGGAACTTATTTTTATACACCCACACCACTCTGCTATCATTTCATGTGCGTAGCAACTAACTTGGTCTTGTGTTCTATGATGAATCGCTTGTTGTATTCTTCATTTGATAGTAGCTTTGGACAAAAGTGCCTGCTAAATTAGGGGAAAAAAGTGCAAATATCTCTTAACAAGAGAGTGATCTTTAAAGGGTAAATATTTGCCATGATCTGTTGCTATCCCTAAGTTAGTAAAAGATGATGGCAAAGGTAATCCAAGGTAATAGGTGAAGATTTAATTTTAAATTTAATAAAAAAATTTATATCAGCTAATAAATAGTGAAAAAGACACTAGACACAATAGTGTGACGAGACACTTGTCTCACGAGACACGAGATTGGGTTCACGAGAACAAGACGAGACAAGATTTTTGCACAATATTGTATAGAAATCCTCAATGACAAGTCATGACTGGAAAAATAGTCTGCAGGTGCATTTTGAAGTTTTTTAACTAATAATCTTGTAATGAATCTCATTTCAGTTAAAAAACTAATAATCTTGTAATGAATCTCATTTCAGTTCTACTTTATGAATATGCATTATCAAATGCATTGAAAGACAAAAAAATACAAGCACTGTAAAAGGTTTTGCCATAAACTCAACCGAAGGAGAAAACAAACTGGCTTCTCTCCTGTATGATTTAACATGAGTCTCTTCAGACCTTACTGTACATGAATTATGAGCTTCCAGAACTTCTGATTGAGGTTGTGTGTGACCTCCTAATTGAACTCCTTTCCACAAATTTAACAGAGAAATAAAAACAGTATAAATAACAAAAATAAATAAGTTTTTTCTTAGTCTTTTTAAGTGCAAACAATAAGTACAAGTGCAACCATAATCAAAGTACTCTCTTAGTATTCGAAGAGCAAACAGAGACTAAAACAGAGACCAGAGCCACAACTACACAGTCCAGAGATAGGTTTGATATTGGGAGACGGGCTATTGTATGCAGCCTAAATTGCGGGCATCAGGGAGCTTGTTTTACTTTCACTTTCAAATTCGCGATCGTGCGTACTCTGTGTATAGGGAGCGGCACACCCGTCGCTATGGGCGGGCCATAGGGGGCCGGGCCCGCCCGCAAAAATGCTTGTGCCCCCCCCCACCCCAGGCACTTTTTTTTTTTTCTTAAAAAAATTACTTTAATTTTATATTATAATAGTTGCATTCTTTATCATTAAAACATTAAAAATATATAAAGAAACAATGGTGTGATTGTGTTTGATTGATGGGAATCTACACTGCAACAGCCTATCACGGCCTCACTAAAAAGAAAGTTAGGATACGTACGTGACGTATCACGTCAGTGTAGCCGCTCAACAGTTACCGCGCATTTTAAAGCTATAGTCAGATGAGTTTTCGCCGGCTTACTACTCGCTTCAGTTCGTCTGGAGAGAGGACAGCGCTGCCTCCACTCAAAGTACCGGTAGGTTCAAAGTCTCTGTGCGTGTGTGTGCGTGCGACCGTGCGTGTGTTAGGGATGGGCAAATAATTAAAAAAAGAGTTAGTAAATGCGCTTAAACTTCCAAAAACCTGTAGAGTAGTGGTCTGGGTTCAAACAGTCCAACACACAAAGTGAAGCATTAACGTGACTGGAAAGAAAGTGAGGCTTCGTTTTTCGTTGATCACGTGTTTCTCTGAAAACAATACGCGCTCCGGCACGCGATATTTTTTTTTCACAGGATGGTAGGGGAAGACTCATGAATATTCATTAGGGAACTCATCCCTGATTGGTCTGATGACCTACCCCTAACCCCGCCCCTAAACCTACCCGTCACTGGGGGTCTGATGACTTACCCCTAACCCCGCCCCTAAACCTACCCGTCAGTGGGGTTAAGACCAATCAGGGATGAGTTCCCTAATGAATATTCATGAGTCTTCCCCTACCATCCTGTGAAAAAAAATATCGCCTCCGGCACAGAGCTTCATGAGAAATTGCGCTGCGTACTCGATACGCGCTTTGAAGCTTCAGTGTCAGATGTAACATCAGTGTGTGTGTGTGTGTCTCATTGGCAATGCATATCCCTCTGTTGACTGCTTCAAAATGCAATGTTTTAGAGAAGCTTCTGGACTGGTGTTACATCTAATATGTTGTATAGTCAAGTATGTTATGGTTATTCATAACATTGCTTCTATGTAATGTGGTGTAGGCTATAGGCTACCTGGTCATAAAGCTGTTGGTTATGTTTAACGTGACGATTACGTGCTGCGCGAATAGAGTATACAATTATTATAAATATACGTAGGCTAATAATAATTGTGCCCCCCCATGCATTTCACATGCCCCCCTTAAGACTGAGGTCTGGCGACGGGTCTGGGGAGCGGCAGTGCTGAGCGCAAATTCTCTACAAGATAAGACATTTATCAGACGCTTAGGCTCTGCTGCGCATCGAATCATCCACCATCGTCACACGATCAGTGAACTGTGATTCCTGCTGCACTGTGTGCGACTGCAACTCGTGCTGGATGAGCAGAGTAGACATTTTAATAGTTTATAATGGTTTTTATTTTTATAAAATCAGCGAAATGTGAATGGTGGCATATTCTATGCTAATTTGAGACTCACACCCCGTCATGGCGATATCGCGAGACAGCTTTTCACTCGACGAGAAATAGTCACATTTTTAGTCTTGCGAGATCTCGTTGCACAAGATCTCATCACACACCCATCAACCACCAATCCAAACATTATTCATCAATCATCAGTTACATACAATCATCTGTATCAGCCTTTAAAATATATGGTGACATTTTCATGACATTTTATAGAGCATCACCAAATATCACTTTTTAATTAATCAGATCTACAACCAGACTCTGGAAAACTTTCACAGTTCACTGTACTTTTAAAAGGTTTTAATTTGTTAGCATTCTGTGTTCCTGTGCATTTGGAAAATATTGTATTTATGTGCTTACAAAAAAAGCAACTTCCCTTTCAGGTTCACTCATCACTTGGCAGGGTGGAGCTTTTTGACCCATGGAGAATTACTTCCAGGCTGAGGCCTTTAACCTGGACAAGGTGCTGGATGAGTTTGAACAGAATGAAGGTTAGAGAACTGCTAACTTGCAAAACGTTGAAAGAATAAAGCAGGAGCTCTGAAAGTCATAGATGTTCTGAGACCATACAACAGAACAAAAGAAATTCTCAATCTCGGCACGTTTACATTATTTTCAGATAACCCACTTTGTCAGGTGAATTAGAACATAATGAACTGTATGGAAGTAAAATAATGAGACATGTTTTTGAAAACAAAAAGCCTGTTGAATTGCACTACTTGAAAAATATTAATGGGCCTCGAGATAGAAGCATTGCGCAGTTACACTATTGCCTCGTTTCCACTGAGCGGTACGGTACGGTACAGTTCGGTTCGGTACGCAATTATTTGCGTTTCCACTGTCAAAAGTTGTGAATGGTACCAAAAAGCCGAACCGTACCGTACCACTTTTTGGGTACCCTTCCGTTGGGGTACCTAGCACAGTGGTACGGTACTAAAAGGTGGAGCTAGACTCACTGCAGAACGGTGATTGGTTGACAGAGTATCGTCACTTGCGCGTGCTACAAGGGCATTAGAAGCATACAGTTAAAATATAATACTACTGTTATTGTGTCACGAAATGTAGTTTTAAGAGTTTTTCAGGCGAGAAAGTAGTTTTTTAAAGCTCAAATCTGTGGTTTATTTATAGATTTATGATCATTTGAAGATCCATTCCAAGCAATCACCGGACGCTCGGCGCTCGTGCACCCCGCCTGGAGCAGCCTTTCCCCGGCTAGCCGTTCTGATGTTTGCCGCTGACTCTGACGTCTCTGTAGTGGTTAAACATGAGATATAATTCGTCTTGTACAGACCTAACAGGCGATCTTTGGTCTCGTGAATCTATAATTCGTTCCCTGGCCAATAGTTTTGGCAGAAGGCTAAGTGAAGTTTCATATATTTGAGCGCTGAATTTGTATATTTGACTGAATTGTTTGCTTTGTTATTAAAGCTTTACTGTATATATTTTTGTACCTTTTACTTATACTTTTATAATGGCTATTATTGATAAAACTGAAATTCAACAAAAATAGATAGTTTTGTCATTTATTTTATTTTATTTTATTACAAGATCATCTGTAATGTTGTTTATTGCAACATTTGTACCAATGCAATATGCAATACATTGCCTGGAATATGTTTAATATTTTTAAATTTAAACGAAAAGAGGCAGGATTGTGTTTTATATTTAGTTTTGTTATAAATATAACGTTACATGCAGTGAATATAATCAATATAGGGTATGCGTTGCCTGAACCACATTTGTGTGCTTATAATGTTTAAAATGTATTTAAATTAAATCGAAAAGAAGCAGAGTGGTGTTTTATAACATATTTCGTTTTATTGTTGCCTAAAATGTACATAACCGGAGTAGCAGAGCGAGCTGAGTCGCGCATTCAAGAACGCGCTGTTCCATCAGCAGAATTACTGGACTCGCGTCCTCGGGATCATTCTCCTGAGTCGGACTTTGCGTGGCTACTTGGTATTGAGAAACGCCTAATGCCAGCGCTTGTTTCTTGTGACAAACATCCCGAGAAGCAAGAACAAGATCTGCTGTCTGTCATCCATTGTTGTTTACTATGTCGCTTTCTTTGCGCGAAAATGACGTCGATCGCTTCTCTCCGGCAAACACCACGCCTATCAAGTAAGGGTACTGTTGGCAGTGGAAACGCTAGCCGGATCATGCTTTACCGACCCGACCCGTACTGTACTGTACCGTACCGTAAGCCTCAGTGGAAACGAGCCATAAGTGAACTGTGTTGTACGTCACACGTAGGCTCACTATTGGCCGTCTCTGGTCATGTGTGTGATGTGTGTGACGTATAACCTAGAAGCGCTGCACAGTTACACTACGCGAAATCTCGAGGCTCACAGAGAAGGAAATGAATAGTTGAATAAAGTCATTATTTTTGTTTGTTTTTTTGCGCACAAAAAGTGTTCTCGTCGCTTGATAAACTTAAAGATAGGGCCACTGTAGTCACTTGGACTATTTTAACGATGTCTTAAACTTTTCTGGACCGGCAAGTTTTGATCCCTTAGAAGCCTATAGAGGAGTGATCAGCTCTCAGATTTAATCAAAAATATCTTAATTTGTGGTCCGAAGATGAACGAAAGTCTTACGGGGTTGGAACAACATGAGGGTGAGTAATTACTGACAGAATTTTAATTTAGGGGTGAACTAACCCTTTAAGAAAACTAAACAACCGAGAGAAATATATGAAGAGTTTGGTTCCAAAACGCGATAAACGCCATTTTTTTTTAAAAATTAGTTACTGCAAAAATCAGTATTGTATCTGGTTGGTATTGAAAAGTCAATGTTTAATTTTAAGTAAAATGCGATTTCCGCCGTGTTATTCTGTCATGTTTTCTCCCTTTCATTCCAAACCGCGACAAACGCCAGTCTTCCTTCTCTGCAGAATGCGATATATCCGCTCTCAACCAATCACAACGCACCATTCCACGCAATGTAAACAGTAACGGCAGCGTCTTAAATACACCCGGCTTCCTAGTTTTTCTTATCTATTTTGTACTTTTCGATCAACAAACAAACAAAAAAATGAATAATTTTGACGGCATTGATGTACCTGTGGTTATTTCTGCGGTGGGTAAGAAACGTAAGGCATCGAAATCGAATCATTTACGTGAGCAGATTAAGAAGATGAGGCACTCGGGAGGAGGACAAATGTTTTCAATCTTCTTTACAGTTCTTAATAAAAATATTATACTAATAAACTTACGTTGTTGTGTAGTTTCAACAGTTTCAATATGAAAAAAAAAACTTTTATATTGATTCAATGGATTAATTGCATTTTGATTTTTTTTTAATGGATTTATTGCATTTTGGGGGGGGGGGGAAATAATCCGTTTTTATAATAAATCTTTGAAAATCAAAACCTGGATTTTAATGTTTTTTTGTTATTATGACCTACAAATGCTATGTGAAAGTTTGAAACAGAAAATAGTGGTTTTCATCTTTCCACTTTCTTGGTAAAGAAAACACATTTATTGGATTTATTGCGTTTTGGAACCAAACTCTTCATATGTCTACAACCTCAGATTTAACGTTTTATCTGTACATCGGGGAATAACATTATAATCTCGTTCACGGTAGAGAAAGCTGCTTACATGTGCAGAACTAAAACACAGCTTTTGTGTCTTTATCAGCATTTTTTCATAGCTATACTGGCCCTGAAAATCATCACAAATACTTACCGCTTGCTCCTTTTCTGTAAATCCGTTTTTATGAATGAATGACTCTCTCAAGTTGCTCTATAGTTTTCTTTGTCAACAGCCGCTTGCACCACCTGCTGGTGAGGTCGACTAACAGCTATGGAGATTATCAATCGGCAATCCACTGATATTCCTGCCGTTCCTGGATGTCAAATGTTGAATTTTCTGTCGAATTTAAACCACTGAATTTGTTGAGGCAAAATAAAATGGACCAAAAATTGCCTGTCGAATATTATAGTATAAACATGAATAAAATAAGTAAAATATGACTATTTTAGAAGTGAAATCTGAAAGGTGAATATGTGAAATGTTTTGAATTGAAATATTCACAGCTTAAATATACAACCATGTTGAATTTCAGCCCATAAAAATGTAAGTCCTAAAAAATTACAATGCATTAAAATGCAAGCAGGGTTAATGCGCTGCATATTTTTTCAAGTAGTGCAATTCAACAAGCTTTTTTGTTTCAAAAACATGTCATTATTTTACTTCCATAGAACTGAACGCAGAGTAACACAGGTGCTGATATAAATAGAACAAATGTTTGGCACTGTCGAGCTGCCCACAGCATGGCTAGCACAAGCAGGTAACTCTGCTGGTGGCAGCAGTCTGTGGTGTAAATGGGGTCAACTGAATTAGCATTTCCCCTCAGGACTTCTGCCTCTCCCTGATTTTCCTGAACACTGTTTAATTGGTGTCACACAGTCAAGCACATGTAATTTACAAGGTTAAGCTTGTATGTGCGTTTTGAGTTATAGCAGGAAATTGCAATTAATATTATTTTGATCACGGTTCTGGGACATGCAGACAACAGCTCCTGGTGCACAGCCGTATAAAATTGACATTGGAATTTATTGATTGCTTTGTCCTGTATGTCACAAAGAACATTAAAAGCCACACAAACTTGGCTCACACACAGCCACCCTCTTAGTGAAGCCATTGAACGGTGGAATGAATGTATATCCCCTCTCCGACACTAATCTTGACAGATTAATGGGGTGAAAGGAGACTTTAAACTATTAAACGGCCCCAGAACAAAGCTGAATAGTGAAGGAGAGCAGTGCGAGTATGTGTCTGCTTGATCACGCTTGGATGTATGTAAGAGAAAGGCAATGCCTGCCCACATTCCAAAGCATTGATGTGTCAGTTTGACAGATGGATCCCAAGGCAATGACCAGATTGCCCCACTTCCTCAACATTTTCCAATCTAGCCTGACCTAATTTCTCAATTTATCTGTTTGTTTCAATCTTCTCAGAAAGAAAGCTAATGAGCTCTTTTTTCATCCTTTTAGATGAAACGGACACGCCGACTCTCTCTGATGCCAAGTGGACTCAGATTCTGGCTCCGCCATCACACCTCCTTTCCCTGAATCCAGCACTGACCCACTCTGACCTCAGCCCAAGGGACAGCCCTATCGGCTTCAAGCCGCTTCTGGATGCCCAGATGTCAGATGGCCCCTCTTTGGCTGAGGTCACCAGGTTAGAGGGGAAACAGGGCCTGGGGCAACAGCCAGAGGGCAGGAGCGAAGAACGGCCAGCAGATGTTCATAGTCCCCCTCTGCCCCAGCCCAACATTGGCAAGCTGGTGAGCACTGACGGGCAGTTGGCAGACATGCCGTCCTCCAACAGCGTGGTGCTGGAAAACGGCTTTCCAGCTAGTCCTGATCATAGTGGCCGGTCTGACGTCCTTCTGGCCAATGGTGATGAGACAAGTCAAGCTGTTACAGATCAGCAAAGTGTTAAGGATACTGGTGCCTGTGAGCTTAAGACGGAGCAGAATGGTACCGATGAGGGAAGTGGTGCTGGCCTTGATGAACCTGGGAATAGGCCACCTGTTTTTAAGAATGGTGTTAAGATGGAGGCAATCAAGCCAGAAGCTGGTTCACCTGTCCTTGAGGTCAGAATGAGGGACTGTAATCTGGTATTTCCAGAAGGAAGTCATCCCCAGAAAGGGGAAGCAGTATTGCACAGTTCTGTGAATGGTGGCGGAGAACTGGATTTTGAGAGGGAGAATCACGAGGGTGCTTTTCAGAATGGTGGACTGGTTGAGAATGAAAGTACAGGGAAAGATACTTGGGTGTTAAATCAGGAAGAGAAAGAGAAAACAATAGAGAATTACCACAAAGAGATTCACAGAGACTCTGAATCATCAGGGGCTGAGAAGTCCCTGTCCAATGGTCTGAATGCGGACTTTGATGGAGATGCACACAGCCAGCCAGCGGTCCCTTCAAAGGAGGACTCTGTGACGGAGGAAAAAGAAATGGAGGAGAGCAAACAAGAGTGTTGTGATCAAGTTCGAGGATTGGAATCTTGCAGAACAGGCAAACTCAACAACAGCCAGCTGCAGCCTGTCAGCGTTCCCTACGGTGGTGCCCGCCCAAAACAGCCTGTCAGTCTGAAGCTGCAGATTCCCCAGCCTCTATCCAGTCAAGTTAAGAATGAATTTGGCTCTACTGGCAAGAACAAGAACCTGGAGCCGCAGAGTATGACAGGAGGCCTTGAGACGTCGAGTGGAGTAACCGAGTCTGGGGTTGTTCGAATGAATGGAAAGCATGGAGATGGCTCTTCAGGCTTACTCATCCCATCTGAGAGTCCAGACAATGATCTCCAGGCAGACCAACAGGGAGCCTTCTCTAAGAAACCCTTTAGCTCCTTGGGGGAAGTGGCTCCTGTTTGGGTTCCTGACTCCCAAGCACCCATTTGCATGAAGTGCGAGGTCAAGTTCACTTTCACTAAAAGAAGACATCACTGTCGGGCATGTGGCAAGGTAAAGCATTTTGTTCATTATTGAGTGGTATATATTTTTTTACTTTATTTAAATCCTTAATCCAAGTATTTAACTAGCAGGCTGTAACTTGTTTGTGGTAGATTAAATCATGCTGCTGCTTTTTGAGAATTGGTGTGATGTTACTTTTCTAAGCAATCAGGTTTATGTTAAACTTTGGCTCTTTTAACTTGGATCTTTTTCAGTTTACATTTTTGGTAGCTAATAAAAAATTCCCTAGCAACCACATGCTTAAAAACCTCTCATTACACTTTAATAACCGCATTGCACAGTGCTGACAACAGGCCACAGCGTCCTTGCATTGTGGAGGTGAGTTTTGCATGGGCAAGCAGCATTCTTCAGATATTTAAAAATCAATTTAATATTGACTTCTAACAAGTTGGAAGCTCAAGCAGAATACAAGTTTGTTTTTACTTTGTCTCATGATGTTGTACTATTTAACATAATGTTTTGATAGCCATAACACTCTAAGGCTGACATCCACTAGAGTTTGAGGCAATTTTTATTCATAAGCTTCATTTGTTTTATTTTTCACACCCCTCTTCCATTCTTAATCATTAAATGCGGTTGAGATTTCAGGAAAAGTAGTCAGTGGGTGTGACAGCTAGTGGGACACTGGCTTACAATGACAGAGCAGAATTTCAAGGAAGTATGGGTAATTGTCGGGCAACTCTAAACCTGAAGCTGTCAAATTCCTTCAGGGAGAAATGTTTGTCTATGCAGCACTCATAAATAACTGCAAGACTGCTGGAGTAATGTCTTAATTTCCCTTGGTGATAAACTGCTGCATCGTTGATGACATTTTCACAGATATGGGCTGGAAAGAACAACTGAAAAGAACTCTGTGAAAATGAAATGTAGCTGTGGTGCAAAATGGTTTAATCTGACAGAACTGTGATTGTTCTAGACCATGTCCTCATCCCGATAACTGGTTCATGAGTCATGGCTGGTCTGGTTCATATAGTTTCTTTCCATTATTTTATTATGTATCATTTTCGGTATAGATCGTTTTTTATCAAAGCAAATGTTTTTGTGATGTGTGTCTGGCCAGGTGTTCTGTGCTGCTTGTTGTAGTCTGAAAAGCAGACTGATGTACATGGACAGGAAAGAAGCCAGGGTTTGTGTTACCTGCCACCGTGCAATCATGAATGGTGAGTGAAATGAAACTCATAGGAAAAGTTATAAATTTCCCTTTATAGACTGGGAGTTTTTGACCTCAAATTTTCCTAATTTGAGTTCTGGTTACATTTATACACATATATACTCTATATGTATATATATATATATATATATATATATATATATATATATATATATATATATATATATATATATATATATATATATATGGTACTAATGTACTGTAGTTTTCATTAATACATAATCTTTATGGTCAATTTTTCAGAGTTCAATTGAAGCCTTTGTTTTGTGCAGGTCGGAGAAAGGTTTTAATATTTTCCAAGACTTTAAGGATTATAAAGAACTAAATAACTTTGTTTCCAAGTAGCTTTATGCAGAAATTAACCAGTTAACACTTGAAATTAGTGTTTTACTATATGTATAACCAGATCATTTGAACTCGCTCATTAGCTCAAGCATGGGAGAACATGGGAGGTGGTGGCAACCAGAGCCCAAATCCCAACAACCCAGCTGAGTACTGCTCCACAATTCCTCCTCTGCAGCAAGCCCAGGCATCAGGAGCACTCAGCACCCCACCACCAACCGTCATGGTGCCTGTTGGTGTCCTTAAACAACCAGGCTCTGAAGGTAAAGTCTGTAGGATATTGCCAAGGTAAAACGTTGTTAATTTGTGGGTTGCGGATTTTTTTGGACTTTTCAGCAGTGTTCAAATTGTGTCAGGGCTCTTTGGGGGTCCTCAACCCCTAAACTTCATTCTAGGTCTGTTTGGTGGGAGCTTCACTTACACCAACCCAGTGGTTCCCAAACCTGCTCCTGGAGTGCCTCCAACACTGCACATTTTTGATGTCCCTCTTATCTAACACACATATTTGAGGTCTTGGAGCTGATGAGTTGAATCAGGTGTGTTTTATTAGGGAGACATACTCCAGGACCAAGATTAGGAATCACTGCCCAAACCTAATCGTGCTGCTGTCATTTCCTAAACTTCGGTCATCATTGACTCACCCTCATGTTGTCCCAAACCTGCATGAACTTCTTTATTTTGTTGAACTTAAAAGAAAATATTTTAAGAAATGTCTCTCTCTGAATTTTGTGTCTATACAATGGAAGGCAATGGTCACCAAACTCTTTAGGGCTGTCACGATATCAGGTTTTTAGTACATGAATATAGTGGCCAAAGGAATTCACAATAACAATCATCTCCTCCGACATGATTTTGTCAATACCAGTATAATGTGACACCCCTAGTTACCAATATTTTTCAAATATCTTCTTTTGTGTTTCACAGAACAGATTTGAAACAACATGAGCGTGAGTAAATGATGACAGAATTTACATTTTTATGTGAACTCTCCCATTCACACGGAGATAATAAAGTATCTTGCGCACTTTACATGTGCATAGAACCTTCCGTCACAGCAAATCAATTTCAGATAATTTATTGAAAATTGGATTGAAAAAATCACATTATGTCAGAGCAAAAATTTGACCATTTTTTGTTTGTTTGTTTGTTTTATATACCTTATACCTTATATACCAGGCTGTTTATCATTTAAAGTCCAGAGTTAGCTGTTCTTAAGCCTCACCGTGTGCATGTACTTCCAGGTTCTCTTCCTCGAGAGCAAAGAAGGGTTTGGTTTGCTGACGGTATTCTACCCAACGGCGAAGCTACAGACTCTTCTAAAGGACCGCCGGCAAACCCCAACCCCTCACAGCCTGTGGCAGTGCCCCAATACTCAAACAAATCCTCAGGAGCCAATGCTTCTGAGGTGACAATTTACTTTGATCCATTCAAGTTCGATAAACTGTTTCAATGCATCTCTAATATGGAGTTTTTTCAGGCATAGGCTCATTTCCAATCGTTATGCTTATCCTGAGACATGAGTCATGTTATGTTGCGGTCATAAATTAGTTTTTTTCCCGCTGCTGTAGACGGCCCGTGCCACTGGAGCCCCGACCGCCAGCCCTGTGGGCAGCTCTCTCAGTCTGATCCCAGAGGACGGACTTCCTCCCATCCTCATCTCCACAGGCATTAAAGGAGGTACGGGAGGCCACATCACAGGTGCTTGCCCATCCTCACCATTCAGCTGTCTCCACTATTGGTGTTTGTTTGTGCATGTCTGTGTGCATGTATCTGTGTTTCTGCTTCTGTCTCCACCACTCATGCTAAGGGAGGGCTTTCATTGGGTTGGTTCCTCATCTGGGTTGTACCATGAGAGGAAAGTGTCTGTCATGGATCAGTTTGTGGCTAGTTACAGTAATGATATTGTTTGCCTTGTCTGCAGACTATGCTGTGGAGGAAAGACCTGCTGAGAGTGTGCTGATGCAGCAGCTTGAGGAGGGTGGCCCTGATCCCCTTGTGTTTGTCCTCAATGCCAACCTATTGGCCATGGTCAAACTGGTCAATTGTAAGTGAGCCATTCCTCGCTAGATATTTACTATGGTTTACATTTAGTATTAATGGAGTGATTTTTTTGGGGGGGAAATTCTCATTCACGGGTGTTTCATCAACTATGGCCATTTTTGACCCAGTAGACATTTCTCATTATTAGCAATGTTGAAAAACGCTTGTCCTGCTTAATGTTTTTTTTGGAAACCGTGATACATTTTTGTTAATTTTTTTAGGAAAGTTCAAAAGAACAGCATGTTTTTGAAATAGAAGTCAATTCCCATGAGCCATAACAGTCATCTGTGCCATCTTTGTTTAAAGATGTAAATAGGAAGTGCTGGTATATGACAACAAAGGGTATGCATGCCGTGGGCCAGGCAGAGGTTGTATTGCTTCTGCAGTGCCTCCCTGATGAGAAAACCATTCCCAAGGACGTCTTCAGCCACTTCATCCAGCTGTATCGGGAGGCTCTCACAGGTAAACTGATACGCCTCCACCAGGGGGCCCGTACTGGTAAACTGATCCAGACAAAATGAGAGCGCGGCCTACATAGATAAAATTAGACCTTTCTGCCAGGAGGCCCTTAAAGGTAAAATGAGGCTGCTGGCCCCAACAGCATTGAGGATCCACTTCAGCAGAAATTGTTTTCCAGACACAATCCTTGTCACCCAGTCGTACTTCCGAGAACTAATGGTTCCCTTAGGCCGGGGACACACTGGCTGTGTGGCGTGAGCGTGGCGTGAGCGTGGCGTTTCTGTTGCGTGGCGGCTGCGTCGCGTTTTTTGTGTCTTCTTTGCACACCAGAAACATGTCTGACTGACGTGGCGCTGCTGCTGCTAGGTGACGTACAGGGAGGACGTATATGGAAGCCCTATATTTCATTATATATATGGATTTGAGAAAGGCGCTATATAAAATAAACATTATTATTATATATATATATATAAAAATATAAAGCATAAATATAAAGCCTACTGATAAAGACACTGTCAGCAGTATTGACAGCAAAATAGACTACATAATATTTCGTTCTGTATTGACAGGTGCAATATTTGAAAATTGATCATTAATTATTTTTAAATTATATGTATATCTGAATTTATGTTAAAACCTAGACTTTCAACCATCAAAATGTAATTTATTAAAGCAGCACTAGGTAACTTTTCAACCTTCATAATATATTTCCAAGTCTCTTGTGATGGTACATCGACTTACAATAGGTTGAATGACACGTCTGCCATAGCCTGACGGGGTCTGTAGCATTTTTAATCGTACTTTTAAACTTCGGGTTTTGGGTAGTAACCGGCGAACAAAGAGAACTACAAAATTCGACTGCTTTACGGCATACGTCACTTCCTCCACTTCCTCAAATTCTGACGCGAGAGCCCAACGAGCGTTTTTATTTTTTACCTCTGTATGTTGTCATGGCCGAAGCAGCAAGTAAAACCAAGAAGCCAAAGGTTTTGTCAGAGGACAATAGAAAGAAAAAGGGAGAGTGACTAAATAAAAGGCTGGACGAGGATCAATATTGGTCCAGCGTTCGCTCGCTGGCGTGAGCTCGAGGAGGAGGAGGGGTGCGTGCCCGATGCTGGCCGTCAAAAAATAAATAAATCAGTAAGCCTATGTCTTTCTTAACGGTGTGTACAAGTTTGGTAGGGGCTACATTCTTGCAAGTAAATAATACATGATTAGACGGACAAAATAAAAGGATAACTATCCTATGTCTGCAGGGCAGGCTGATAGTCATGTTTGTTTATTTATTTTTCTGGTGAAAGTGTCTTGCCTCAGTCAGGCTATAATGCAAATCGATTTTACAAATTTGCAGATTCATCTATGGTAGCTTGATATTATAATATTGAGGATATGGCTATTACCTACCACACAAACATTGAATTGAATTAGCATATCCATTATGTAAAACAGTAGCCAATAGGCTACTATAAAGACGCTGGCTTGTAAACGTGAGCTACGCGATCTTTTGGCATTTGAAAAAAATAAAGCCCATGAAACTATATTCATATGACATGCTGAAATATATGCCAATGTACCTGGGATGAAGACATTTCACACGCAACGCTGGCAGTCTGCCCAAGACGTGAGAACTCCTTCCGCAGAGTTCGGGGGTATCGCTTGTCAACAAATGCACACGTGTATCCTCTGTTGTAACCATGACAGATTTTACGACTGTAGTAGAAAACAATACTGTTTCCCAACTGTAGGGGGACCCCGAGAGAAAAATTTCAAAAGTTACCTAATGCTGCTTTAATATGTATTCGTGCACAAAATAACATATAAACATCTTTTCCTATTCTATTTTGCCTGGAAACGCTTACAACACGCTTGCGTGTCGCGTGAAAAATAGGTGTCGGTTCTATTTCTAGCATGCACGCGTTTTCCGCACGGCTCGAGCCGCGCCTGAGTGTCACACAGGCAGTCTGCAAGCTCTAACCTGTTAACATGGGAGCCGAAATAAAAACGGACACGCCACGCAGCTGAGACGCTTACGCCACGGAGCCAGTGTGTCCCAGGCCTTAGGAACATTTACCTGGTTGCATTCGCACCACCAGTAGGAACTCTGAAGGGACGTAAACACGCTTGTTGTTGTGACTTTAATTTTGATGGCGCTGAGAACGCCAGCCAGATCTGTCTTAACAGTCCTGTCTAATACGTTATTAGATATAATTGTTATACATAGAAAGTAGACAGTATATGAAAAGGTATTAGCGTATGCCGTGTGGTTGATATCCAGTGTTGCTAGCTGAGCAGAAATACATATTCATGTTTCTCTTGGTCCCCTTAAAGTTGCGTTGGATGTTCTCCTCAGCATAAAGGTTCATTCGAAACCTCATAATTGGAATATTCGTGCACATCCCTAGTAACTACATGTAACATCTGTAGCAAAGACACTGTAAAATAAAATGTTACCCAGCATTATTGTTATTGTTTATGGTATTTACATTTCTGCAAACGTGTTTAGCGATCTAAAAGTTTTATTTTCGCCTTTTATCCAAGTAGAAATGGCTTAATCATGAAAATAAAGTGGTTGAGCCTGATCTAATCCCACACTTCCTTCTGTGCAGGAAATGTGTTAAGTCACCTGGGCCACTCCTTCTTCACTCAGAGCTTCCTGGGCAGCAAGGAGCACGGCGGATTCCTTTACATCAGCCCCAGCTTCCAGACCCTGAAGGACCTGCCGTTGCCTAACCCGCCCTACCTCTTTGGCATCCTAGTGCAGAAGTGGGAGACCCCCTGGGCCAAGGTCTTTCCCATCCGACTCATGCTCCGACTAGGGGCGGAATACCGATGTGAGTTTGTGGTTTGATGCTGAATTTGAGGCTTGTTTAATGGTTTAGCCGTATCGGACGTTGAAAGATATGGATTGTTCCTGTAGTTTTGATTGTATCTTTGACCTCTTCACATGGAGACGTGTACACTTACAGAATAGTGAGAATGCAAGGCCCCTTTCTGATGCCTGTATAAGAGCTGTTTAGGAAACCATAATGCAGAAAATGTCTTTTTCTGTGCTCTCTTCTCACGCAGAGTTTTCTCTGCACTAATTCGTAAGCACTGCCTCCTGTGGAGATGGAATATATTATCAGTGTGTTTCTCAACTCATGAGTCCTCATCCATGACATGCAAGCATTCTCACATTTAGAAGCACCATGTACGGTTCTAGTCTCATGTTTAACCGGGGTGTGTGAGGACTTGGTAAGCACACAGGCCCCCGATTTTACATTAAAGTAATTGCAGTATTACATAAAAGGGGCCTCTGAGTCATTTGGAGTGTGAAGGAGCTTATTGTGAGCTGCTGATTTAAATAGCGTGACTTGTTGTGGTAGCCTGGCGTGTTCTTATCGTGCACTTGTGTTGCAGTCTACCCCTGCCCACTGTTTAGTGTTCGCTTTAGAAAACCTCTTTTTGGAGAAACTGGTCATACCATCATGAACTTGCTGGCTGTAAGTATTCTTATTTCACTTCTTCTTCTGCATTTAGCACATGCCTTACTGTCAATGTGAACCCATGTCAAGTCGTCTGATGGCGTTTGAATTTTCCCACATCTACAGGACTTCAGAAATTACCAGTACACATTGCCGCTGGTCAAGGGGCTAGTGGTGGACATGGAAGTGAGGAAGACGTGCCTCAAGATACCGAGCAACCGTTACAATGAGGTGAATGAAGAAAAAAACTTATTTTTGGTTGTTGTATGACAACAAATTTCCAATAGAGTTCATGGAAAATGTATTTGGAATTTATGTGGAACAGCATGAGTAACAGCGAGCGTAGCAGATTCATGACTAATGTCCAATGAAACAAGTGAAGCATTGACAACAGCTTGTCTTCTGTGTCCTCTGTGTCCTAAATACTAAAAGTTGGAGACTTTTGGTATTTAGCTTGTGTTTGAAAAGCGTTTGACGGAGCAGAACTTGTAGTGGCAGACCTTTGACATAGCAGGGATTATTTAAAGCCTTGGCTGCCTTGTGTCTTACTCTGCTTTCTTTAAAAGCTGTCATTCACTCATCTAGGACTTAAACCCTTAAAAACTTAATTAAGGTTTCGGATTATGCATAACTTATGACAAGTTATCTTTCGGCTTTCTCTTTTCTCAGCTCATGAAGGCAATGAATAAGTCCAACGAGCATGTGCTGGCGATGGGCGCATGCTTCAACGAGCGGGCGGATTCCCATCTTGTCTGTGTTCAGAACGATGATGGGAACTACCAGACGCAGGCCATCAGTATTCATCACCAGCCTCGCAAAGGTGCGGCACAATTACCTACATTTGCAAAAAGCCGCACCCAAAGATTTTAAATAAATGCAGCCTTTGTGAGCTTAAGAGTAGGGGTGGGCGATATCTCGATATTTAAAATATATCGAGATATTTTTTAAACACGATATGGATTTTGACATATCGTATATATCGATATATTGTTTATATTTAATTCTGATTTCGCCACTTTGCCTTCTCTGCGCTGTGATCGCCCCCGCCTCCTTGCTTTTGTTCCCCCTCCCCTCGCGTGTTGTCTCATTCAACATGGCGGCGCCCGCAACTAGCCCGGAGGCTACAGAACTCGTCTAAAAAAAATCGTCTTAAATGCTGTCTTGCATGCACTTCTTGAGGCACACTAGCAAACACACCCAAGGTCTCTCGCTCTTTGTCCCTTTCTGGCTACACGCTACACGGTTTGAACATACATATTCACACCTTTCGAAAACCGGGACATTCTGTGTCCCGGGAGAGTGGATAAATTTCCCAGGACAGGTTATTAAAAAGAATGACAATCCCGGTAAAACGGGACAGGTGGCAACCCTGGCCATTGCCGAATTATTATTTTTGTATACAGGGATGTTTTTTTTTTTTTTAAATGTCGCAGAAGCACTTTGGACTACATGAACTGCCTACCTCTTTACACTCCAATAAAAAAAAGACTGTGGTATTTGGCATATTTGTTTTTGCAGTAGTTTTTGTTCCTGTAAAGATATCGAGATATATATCGTATATCGAGATATAGCTAAATATATCGAGATATATTTTTTGCTCCATATCGCCCAGCCCTACTTAAGAGACTTGTTTAAAAAACAAAAAATACTACTAAATAATATTTTTGAACGGTAGTGTACGGCAATGTAATGGATTATTTTATTAAAAGATGACGATGACATCGAATCAATCATGATATGTTGATCAATTAATGAAATTAGTGAAGTTCTTTGAAGAAAAAAAATCTTATCACCTCTTGAGTTCTGTTTTAAAAGAATGAGTAATATTGGATGAGGAAAGTATGTTTTTGATGTATTATTTCCTTTTATCCCTCTTTTAGTTACTGGTGCCTCCTTCTTTGTGTTCAGCGGGGCTTTAAAGGCTTCATCGGGCTACTTGGCTAAGACCAGCATTGTGGAAGGTACAACATTTGCAGCCTCTTTCTCGAAATGTAGGACATCTGATCCCCCTGGAACAATGTCTAAACTGGACATAATCTCCCTTTTAACTGTCTTTGACCCAGTCCCAGTCAGTCTGCATTGTACATTTTGTACCACTTGATTCTAATTTAAAGTGCTTTCTACTTAGCAGTAAAATACTCAGATCACTTGTATGGAGAGGTTTTTGGACTTTCGATAAAAAGGCTACCATGCTGGAACCAATCCCATAACCTTTGATTGCTTTGAGATATCAACATAAAATTTGGCCAAACTTGATTTTACGACCTGTCATATATACTATCTAATAGTCATCATGTCAAGCATGAGTAACAAGATAAATCAACTAATTGCATCACTTTGTTAGGCTGAATTGTACCTGATTCTAATTTAAAGTGCAGATTTGTGTGCTCACTGTAGTAACGCTGAATGCTTGTGCCCCAGATGGCGTGATGGTGCAGATAACAGCTGAAACGATGGAGGCCTTACGGCAAGCCCTGAGAGAGATGAAAGATTTCAGTATTGCCTGTGGGAAAGCTGATCAAGACGAGAACCAGGAGCACGTCCATATCCAGTGGGTTGATGATGACCACAACGTCAACAAGGGGTGAGCAGACAGCTAAAACTGGCTCGTTCACTTGACAAGTTCACAGACATTAATATGGATTTTGTCCCCCCTTTGCAGATAGGGAATGATGTCAATGTATTTAGAATGCAATGTCATTTAAGTCCCTGTTTGTGTAATAGTCATGTGTCCCAATACCTGTCGCCGGTTTGTGGTTTGTCCCTCCTCAGACTACCCATCTACCCAGACCTAATATGTGGCTTTTTCAATACTGCCGTGCAAAGGCAAAAGACCGTAACTTCGTTTTTGGTCGAAAATGAGTTATTGATATTTTTGGCACATTCAAGACCTCCTTTATCATGTGGATAAGTATCTTGAGTCAATTCCATTGTTTTTTCGAGAAAATAATAGTTTGTCTTAACCGTAACTTCCAAAAGCCCTTGAGAAACCAAGGCAGAACACTGTAACACCCGTTACGGCTCTTTGGCTTAGTTTTGGAACGCTCATATTGAGTTACGGCACTCTGCCTTTGTTTAGCCGCGCGTCAATATGAAGTTACGGTGCTGGCGTTCTATCAAATAATGCTACCTATCAGATTATACGGTGTTCTGCCTTTGTTTTACTCTCCATTAAAATTGAAATTACGATGTAGCCTGTGTAAGTTACCTACTTTGTACAGCTACCATCCGTCCCTGTAACTTCTGATGTCCTCATTCTTTGTCCTGCACTTAAAGCGGTCAGAACATTTAGTAGCCTATATGCTCTTAACCCGCTCCATCGACAAACGTGCGATATCGATTGCGAAGGATATATGCAGAGTTGACAGAAAAATGTTACACATGCCGAAACAGGTCAATACAACAAAGAACTAAAACCCCGCCTCACCCAGTTCGGGTACCGGACCTAGTTGAAACAATCATGCATCTAGCTGGCAGAGTGCCAAAACTTCGCCGGCGCGTTCAGCTCCGCCCTGAACACGGTCGAGCCGACGCGGAACTAATATATCACAGAGTGATAATAATGAAGCAACAAGGGTATATTGGCGCATACATCATAATGAAGCAAGAAGTGCAGGTGCATACAACATCAGAACAGCTGTTAAAAGCATGCATACAAAACACAGCGTCCGGAATAAATCCGCGGGACGAGCGAAGTGCACGCACAATATTAGGGCTGACAGCTGAAACCAACGCATACTGAAAAGACGCAGAACACAGATGACTAATGCATTTATAGCACAACCTTCTAAGTAGTCCAGAACGCGCTCCCTACTGAGTCCTAGGGGTAAAGCACTGCATAGGCTACTTTTCATGAACGGAGCGTGACACCTTCGAACACGAATCTCGGTAAACGCCTGTGAAAGTATGCGTCTTTCAGATCCCCCGCTATAAACCAGTCTCCGGGTCGAATGTGCGCGAGGATCTGTTTTTATCGTGATAATCACATTACATTATAACGCGTGTTTAGCAAGTCTTATGCCACTCGGTACCACTTGAAGATACTCTTTAGTCTTTACCGCTATATGGAGGTATTTTGTCATGTCTAATGTATTAGGGCCACCAGAATGCAACCAAAGCACAATAACTAGAAGGCTAGGTAATTGTAAATCATACAAAATAAATGCCATGATCACTAGATTTTATACAGGTGTTACTATAATGATTTTGTTAATGGTGATCAGCAACCAAATATTGATAATGTGGAAGTTACTGCCTTTTGCCTTGGCAACTTTTTTGCTGACAATACAAAGGCAGAGTACAGTAACTTTAAAATAGTGGTCAAAAGTCAAGTTTGAGCTCAAAATTTTGTTATGTAGATCATGTTCATTACTTAAACATCTAATTGCCAGATTTTCAGCGCCCTACCTATAATTAATTTGGCGGGACAACTAAAAATCTTTAAAGTCATTTTTCTCAGTTCCACACTCTAGCGAGTTATGGTCTTTTGCCTTTGTAGGGCAGAATAGATGATCCGCATTATTCGCTTTCCATGTGACTGGTCATAATGTTTTGGCTCATCTGTGTGTGTGTGTGTGTGTGTGTGTGGCATTAGCTGCTTTTGTGGATATCCCATCAAAAAACCTGTTTATAAAGGAAAATATTTAATCCCAAAAATCATTCTCATCCCACCCATGTACTTTTCTTGTTATAAGACTGATCAGTCCCATTGATGGGAAATCCATGGAGTCAGTCACCAGCATTAAGATCTTCCATGGCTCAGAGTATAAAGCCAATGGGAAAGTCATCCGTTGGACAGAGGTATTTATTCATCATTTGTCATTATTTATCTTCATTTAACGTTATGAATTCTATTGTAATGACATTTCAAATCTATAAGCCTTTCTTTGTTGAAACACAAATTAAGATTACATTTTTTGACCATACAATGAAAGTCAGTGGGCTCCAATGTTAATAACTGTACATTAATTGTGCTGTTTGCTTAGGTGTTCTTCCTACGGAGCGAAGACCAGACCAATGGCCTGAGCGATCCTGCAGACCACAGCAGACTCACCGAGAACGTGGCAAGGGCTTTCTGCATGGCCCTGTGCCCTCACCTCAAACTTCTCAAAGAGGATGGGATGGCCAAACTGGGCCTGAGGGTTACATTGGACTCTGATCAGGTTACAATGATAGCTCCATTTAATTGTTGCTTTCTGGCTACATCTACATTAATCTGGATACATTTTTCTCTTTTTCTCTCTGTTTTGGCATTCTGTCCACACTTAGACTGTTGTTGTTTTTTATTTTTATTCTATGTATCCACAAAGTGGATACATAAAGAAAAAAAAAAACAGTTTTCATGTTATAGTGTGTGGACTGTAAAAGCTGAGGTATTTGAAAATGATGACGCATGTTTAATCATGTGACGCATATTGTACATATATGTGCTATTGCAAAGTGTTGCTAAAGATAAATGTAACTTTGTACAATCATCATATTACATTCCTGCAAAGACGACAGAAAACATGAGAGCTGTTGCGTTTTAGACCATACATGAAATGGCGATTGAGTGTGACCTGGACAGAAGTGGCGGAATATTTTGCTAATAAAATGATTGGACCAGAAGAAGTGTGAGAACTTTAATATGTCTGGTCTCTCGATATTATCCCAGTAAAACGTTTTATTAGGATTTCAAGTGATAGTGACCCCAAAATTTTGTCATTAATTACTCACCCTCATGTCGTTCCGAACTCGTAAGATGTTCGTTCACTGCTACGCAACTACCACTTTGACCCACTCAAAAAGTTCATAGAGGTCGTAAAATTAATCCATATGAATTGAGTGGTTTAGTCCAAATGTTCTGAAGAGACACGATCACTTTATATTATGAACAGATTTAATTTAGGCTTTTTTTACATAAAAACATTCATTAACACGCACATCAGTTATGATAAACGGAAGCTCAAGCATGTTCGCTTGATGTGCGAGAACCAATGAGGTTCATTCTCGTGTTACGCAGCACGTTTGAGCTTCAGAAAGAGGTTTGCTCTCAGTTTATGTTTGCTGATCAATGTTTAAATGTGAATAAAACCCTAAATTCCATCTGTTCATCAAAGTGATCGTATCTCTTCAGAAAATTTGGACTAAACCAATTCATATGGATTAGTTTTACAATCTCTTTATGAACTTTTAGAAGGGTCAAAATGGTAGTTGCGTAGCTGTCAATGGACGGACAGAAATTTCCCAGATTTCATCAAAAGATGAATCTAGATGTAGCCTCAGTCAAGTTAAGATGACTCCTCCAGGCTTACTCTGAAATGTCTTACAGGTGGGCTACCTAGCAGGCAGTAACGGTCAGCCGCTGCTCCCCCAGTACCTGAGCGATCTAGACAGCGCCCTCATCCCAGTGATCCACAGTGGGGCCTGCCAGCTAAGTGAGGGGCCTGTGGTGATGGAGCTCATCTTCTACATCCTGGAGATCATCTCTTAAAAGGAGGGAATCCGTCCAGTCTCAGACTCATGCCTCCCACCAGCTCGAGTCCCTCTTCGCTCGCTCACTCACTCATTTGCACTTCAAAGAGCCTGAAAGCTGTGCAGGAACAAGTCCTCCATACCACCTATGCACCATCTCCACTGGGACGCCCTCTGCCCAGCCCCGCTGAACGTGGTGCTCTCTTTCCTTTCTTCTCACCTCTCAACTCCACTGTGGAAACCATTGGCCCTGTTGAGTCAAAAGGGGTGGCGACCCTGAATTCGATCTCTTCAGAACCGTTGTAGCAACACTAAGCTCCTGAAACACAAGAGGGCGCTTTACACACTCAGCCCTAATGGAGGCTGTTCAGATGTTGATGTTGGCCGAGAGAGGAACTGTAGAGGGAAGGTTTGTTCTATGAAATGGTTTCTGGTGCACAGTGCCTGGGCCTCAATAAGAAACGAAGAATGAGCTTCGGTTTCGCCTCTAAGCTTTATGAATCACCAGATGCTTTATTTCATGAATATGGACCTTGTTTTATGTTTTTTTTTTTGGTAAGATAAAACTGCTCCAAAGCTAAAACAATGTAGCTTCCTCAGAGATGGACTGCTTGGCATGGTAGCGGAAAGATTGTGGAACAGTATTAGGAATGTTGACGATTAAGTTACTGTTACAAGTATCAAGAACGGACCTCTGTCACTGACTTTATTATTATTATTATGAGACAATACGATCGAACAATAATTTCAAGCGGCCTTCAGGAATTCAACTACAACTTCAAGTTCCACATAATGGTAGGTTTTGACATGACTGAAGGTCTCAGTCCAATAAAGCTTTTATTTTGCATTGGTTTGGACCGTGATAGAGGATGAAATGTTACCATTTTTCTGGGCCGCTGCATTTAGCATCCTGTCCCATCTCTTCTCTCACCCTTTTTAGTGGCCCATGTTCATTTAGTGTTCCGCCAATGTTTTTAACATGTTATCATATAAAGGATTGTGTAAGGAATAGCAATGCAGTGCACGGGATATAAAGCCATCATTAGGAAATAGAAGGAGAGAATAAAGAAGAATGGAATTACTGATATTTAAGTATTATTCAGAGATTCATTAATGAGGAAAGTTTTTGTTTTGGTATGTGGTTTGGAAGCCCTTAATTCAGCTGTTAGTTGGGTTGGGGCCATTTAACCCTGTTAGTTTTTCACTGTGTTAAGGTCTGGTCACATTAGAGGGATTTCGCGAGCAAATAAGGTCTATTTTTAATATTGTAGTATTATATATGAAGCACAGCTCACGCAAAAGTCACTTTCAAACCAAGCAACTTGGTCAACATGTTAAATCCGTCTGACTATCTTAAATCTGTGAGTAATGTGTGTGGAAATCTTTCGCCCTCACGCAAAATTCTGATTGCGTGGAATCCTATAGAAATGACTGGATTTTGCTTTCGAAACTGTAAATGTGACCGCACTTTTTAGTCATGTTTTATGTCCTTCTATTGACCATTAACAATGTGCTTTAAGCAGGGCTCCAGACTGACTAGGATAATCGCAAATGTGACACAATACAAATTTTCTACTAGTGTTTACTTTTTGTGTAGCTATCTCAGTTTCGTACGGAGCTAGCCCCTAAACGTAAATGTGTTGGAGGAAAAAAAATATCTTTAAATGTTTATGTATTCTCCTGCAAAACTTTTTTTGTTCCCCCCAAGAATGCTCTCAAAACGTTTGTATACTATAAACTATATTTCAATGCTTTTGTGATGCGAGTGAATGCAAAGATTTTCGGGCGAACACAATACTTTTTGCGAGAGAATGCAAGCACGCGCACGAATGCAAAGTTTCTTGGGGAGCGCAGTACTTTTGCAAGAGAACGCACAAAAACATCTAAAACAGTTTTTTTCAGATCACCATGTCCCTAGGGCTTTGTTTCGTTATATATAATTTCGTGAGGTGCCGTTTGTTAATTACAACTTTAGAGGGCACATCAGTGTTGTCTGCTCAGCACGATCCGTGATTCACGCACAAATGATTCTTGAGAACGAGTTTATCAATCGGATTTGAGAGTTAGCATGTTTAATTCGATTCTGTCAGTGAATCATTCAGAGCTGTTGCAGAGTTAGCAAAGGTTTTGCTTAACTGCAAGTCAGTTCTCAATTATGAACCTGAAGCGCTTCAAAACAACCATTTTTATCGAGCGGTTTCAGTTTATCGGTTCAGTAATTTCATTTTAGGAGCCAATAGCTTCCTAGTCACGTTTGTTAGTCTGGAGTCCTGCTTTAGATAAGGAGATTCCCTAATTCAGCCTGTTGTATTTTTTTGACTGATGTAATGTGGTATTAGATAGAAGAATCCTTTACTTTATAAGCAGGAGTTATTATTTTAATGAACTTTTTGTATTGATTTTTCACTCACATGGAGAAAATTGATTACTACAACGGTTAGCTAGCTAATTATGGAATTCTTCCAAAATGGAAAGCTACCAATATAAGGAGCGCTTGGAATTTGGGAAATCACTGTGGATGACATTTTAAAAGAAAAGGCCTTAAAATTTCATGATCCGTCCATCAAGACATTCCAAAGGTCAACTAGATAGTCAATCATATCTAAACTGATGTTGACATTGTGACCTCAGAGTGTTTTAACAAGGCCTCTTTAGCTAACTAGACTTCAGCTGAAGTAGTATTTTGACATGACAATCAAACTGTAGTTCATCTTTTAGTCAAATAACAAAGTAAAGGTGGGATGGTTTTGCATAACGACTCTCAGATGTGGTTGTTTTCATCAGATGGCCCACGCACGAATGAGGACAGCAGCTGATATGAAGATCCACAGCACAGCCCTTTATTAGCAGGTCAACAGTTGAGACAGAAAGCATGTGTTTCTGGCTTTTGGTGAAGAGTGCCGACAGCTTTGGAAGCAGACTGTTCATGAAAAATAAATGGCATCACATGAAGGCTGTATTGTCTTTCCATAAACACAGTTCAAAACAGCCTTTTGTTTCACCCTGCATCCACCTTTGCCATTGTTTTTCTAGATGTGCAGTATCGTATATTTTGACATTTATATATTTTGTTAACCATAGCCTTTTTCCGTTTTTTTTGTTTTTTTTGGCCGGCCCAAAGAGTAACAGCATGCATGCTGAAACAAACGAGAACGTGTAGTTCTCAGAAAATCTTTGCATTTTGACAGCATTTCAAAGGACGATCTGCTCAGTTTTACATACTATTGGTTTGATCTGTGATTAATCGCTGTTAAAACCTGACATGGGGTGGGGGAATGGAAATAAATTTGCAATGTATGAAAAGCCAAAAAAGAAAAGGAAAAAAAATACCACCTTTCTTTATTGTACACTACAAATGTCAATAAAAGCATTCTTTATCAAACCTGTTGAATATACAAAAACGTCATCGTTGTACATAAAACTGAAAACTAATTTTTTATATTAATAGGTTCCACTAAAAGTAAAATAAAATGATATATTTCAATCAAGAAATATCAGGAGCTACAGGTCTTCGTTTCTCTTGTTTAATAACAAAACATTAACAGATTCACAAACTTGGTGTGAAATGAGAATACATTACACGGCAGATTCTGCAAGGAAAAAGTAGAAATATGCATTGAGAACATCATGACTAAAGTGAAACATTATGGCATGTGTGTAACGACCAGACAATTGGGTCTAAACCTTGCAATGGATGAAATAACCACTTAATGAAGAATAGACACTGACAGTGCAATTTAAACCAGCTCGGTCTGAGACTGGAAAATGTGCTAAACCACACAATTCACATGAGATGGGAACACCTGTAACTGAAATGAATGGACAGAGTAAGAAGTTGAACTAGTCTGATGGCTCTAGATCGCACATTGTCCACACTTAAAAGCCAAACGTCAGTCAGTTCTTTGCAAATTGTAATTCAACACACCACAAAATATAAATGGGCCAAAATTTAGGTATTTTTGAACTTGTAACTAAATGTTACAAAGCTAAGCTGTTTCTGAGACCATCGCTTTGGCAAGTGAAATCAAAATGTATCGTGTCTGTCTGAATATAATAATTTATAGGGATAGTTCACCCAACGATTAAAATTCTGTCATTTACTCACCCTAAAGTTCTAAACCCGTATCATTTTTCTTCTGCTGAACATGAAAGAATATATTTTTTGAAGAATAGGAGTAACCAAACAGTTGATGGGCCCCAATTGACTTTAATACTAAAAAACTACTATGGAAGTCAATGGGGTCCATCAACTGTTTGGTTATAGACATTCTTCAAAATATCTTTTATGTTCAGCAGAAAAAAAGAAATTAATTCAGGTTTGGAACAGTAAATAACATCATTTTTAGTTTTGGGTGAACCGTCCCTTTAAGTGCGCACTAGACCACAATGTAAACATTGACTAAACGTGGATTAAGTGCTTACTAGGAGCGACTAGTAAAGAGAAAGACTGTTAAGTGCAAGAAGGGCAGTAATTAAACAATTTTTCTCATAAATTATGTAAGGGACATTTTTATATATATATATATAATACATACACACACAAAACAATGCAGAATCGCTCGAAAATCTACCTTTGCCAACCTATCAACTTTGGCTAACTTAACTTATTGCTAACTAAACTGGCTCTTCTGATCAGAGAGTGTGTACTCGAATCTTACAGCACCAGTTCTAGTCCGAGTGATTATCAGCAAAGTGCTGAAAAAAGCTTGTTTAAACTTAAATTTACTGAAAAAAAATATACATTTTCAACAATTTCAAAACATGGTACAACACACTCATTTACCCACTGAACCAGACATTAAAAAATAGACTATTCAGAACATGATGAATAATTTACATCTGGTGCAACTAGTAATAGCTGGTTTATGGCTTTAATGGTATTTATAAGGAATATAATATTTAACAGCAGTACTTTAGCACGGCCTATCTGTATAAACAATGCTGTGTATTCACATAGGGTGTAAACAAGATTTGAAATGTCTGACAATGTTTGGGATTCAAACTCAAACCTTTTTGCATAGCTGGTCACATATAACTCCTTTGCATAGCAGTCATACATTAGTATTGGAGATATGACAGGAATAGGTTCTAGTTTAAGGGAGAACAGATTAAGTCATTCATCTTACTGCAGCAGCAGTGATTACTTTGGCATTAGTGCATAAGTGCATCCCAGAGCAGTAAAAAAAAAGAAAAAGGAGTTAGCTCTCATTTGGCTTCAGCTTCAATGTTTAATGTACCAGTTGGGGTGAGCAATCTATCTCAAAAGGCCCATTTAAAAGGCATATCAATCTCACGTCTCAAGTCTGTGCACATTTTCCCGCTCCTTTTAATAATATCTCCTGTATTTTTAATAACCACCCCAACTGTTACATCCTGGTCCAACCTCTTTTACCCTGATGACAAAAACCAAGCTAACGGTCTCTGTCTGTGAACGGCTTGAGAAAAGTTCCTCGCGATCTCAATCGCTTGGTTTGTAGCCAAGGCTAGCAGCACTGTTGAGCTTTCACCGTCCATACCTTCTTCTGCTCTGATAAACCCGCTGAGACCTGAAAGAAAAATCCACTGTGAGGTGAAGTGGAACACGGATTTGATAATGTCATTAGAAATAGAGCAAACTTTCTTACTTTGTGAAGATGAGATCACAGCGTCAGTTACAGCAGTAGCTAAAACAGACAACAGATGGCAGTCAAAACCAAATCACTCAGGAATAGGACTGTCAGAATCATGAAGTACTGTCATACAGATTTAATTATTTTATGTAACTTACAGTGGCTATGTTTCCATCCAAAGTTGCAAATTTAACATGCTTAAAATTGCTACATCGCATGAAACATTTCCATCCCATGAGCTCAAGAAAACGGAGAAATTGTGGTAATTAGGAAAGCCACTGTGGCTCTTTTTCAATACGTCACAAATGACTTGAGCCTTAAAGCGTGCAGATGAAACACAATATAAGCCGTCATGTTATCTTGCGTTCGGAGGCGGATGCCTGGTGTTTGGGAATGTTATTGTGAGCTTATTATGCCCAGCCATTTTAATGGCATTTCAGAATGACTAAACCAACATCTGAGATGCTGTGCAAAGAAATTGGTCCACTGGTTAGGCCAGCTATCCAATCACATCCTCTGTTTTTTTAGGCAAAATCATGCAAGCTTTTTGTTGTGTGTCCAGAATTTATTTGGTAAATGCATTTCCATCTTACTTTATGCACTTCTAATCGGATTTTTTTTTTTTTAATCTGCCTCAATTGAGCACATTTGTTTTATGCACATTTTTGAATTTATGTATCCTAGCGGTTTTTTATGCAATATCCCAAAATAAAAATAGGATGGAAAAATACTGTAGTGTTTAAGATGAATACATACAGAACAAGCATTTATTCACACTGAACCTGAAATAATGCAATAAAATATTCTTGTAGAATGACAATAATAATATTTGTATTAATTAATTTATTATTCATTTTCATTAATAATTATTAATATTAAAAAGTCCACTTTTGGGCCAACAGGAATATTATATAATAGTAATATATCAATTATTAAATTACTATTATTATATTATTGTTGTTGTTGGTGATAATAATAATAATATTCTTAATAATTACTATTAGTAGTAGTAATATAAGTAATGTTAATATTCAATAGCAATATATTTCTGTCCTATTTTCTTCACGTATCATTATAAGGTGGTCCAAATAAACACACAGGCCTTTGTTTCACCAGAAAAAAAAAAGTTATTATGTGTGATCTGACAAGTGCTTTTAATTTTTCCACTAATATTTTCATATAAATACATTACACGGGCCACCTCTTCCTTTGTGTCATTAACTTTGTATGATGCACCTTGAATGACCTCATACCTTAAAACGGACCTATCATGCCCCTTTTCACAAGATATAATAGAAGTCTCTTGTGTCCCCAGAATGTGTCTGTGAAGTTTCAGCTTAAAATACCGCACAGATCATTTATTATAGCTTGTCAAATTTGCCCATATTTTGCCCATAACACAGCGTTTTTGTGTGTCCCTTTAAGTAGTAGTAGTAGATAACTTTATTGTCCCCATGGGGCAATTGGGTTTGCGGCGCAGTCGCAAGGCACTTCATGACAAACAAATACAATACAATTCAATACACTACACCCTTGGGTCTGACCAGGCCAGCTGGACATCTAGCTTATTTTGACTGATTTAAGGCTTTTATGGCTTGTGGTACAAAAGAAAATTTGGATCTGTTCTTGGACTGGAAAGGGCAAACCAGCGAAACGGCTTCTTCTGTCCACCCCTTCTGACCCTCACCTCCAGGCAGAATCAGGGAAGGATTCCCTCTGCCCTTGTGGGGGACATTGGTCATGGTCTTGATCCCCTGCCATGCCTCACAGGAATTGCCCGACACCAGGGTTGCCTCAATCTTCTGTCTGTACCTGTACTTATCCAGCTTTATTTTGTCTGTTTAAATGCAAATGAGCTGCTGCTCCCCACCCCCTTTCCAGAAGAGGGCAGAGCCATTACAGCAGCTCATGCTTTAGATACTCCGGCAACAACAAAACTTCAGAATCTCACGCCGCTAAAATGTCAGAAATTGTCAGTAGCGTAGTGGTGTTCAGCCTTAGATATTCAAATATATATATACATAGTCGGACACTGATGGAGAGACTCTAGAAGAAGTTACAACTTTTAGAGTGTTTCTGAATGGTTAGTAGATACATTTATGCAGTTGATTCAACTCATCGACTGGCATTTACCGTCGTGTTAATCTAAGAAATCTTTCAGAAACAACTTTTGTGCAAATCAAGCATAAAAGTGTGAAGCAGTCCGGCGTAAAACGATTTATGCAAATATATAACACTTTAACAACTTTTTTCAGCACATTTCCTTTATAAATTAAATTCAACCACGGTGTCCTCGGCGGCTCAGATGTCGGGAGTCTATGGTGACTCCTATGTTCGTTGGTACATCCAATAACAGAACATTAGTAATGTTTCAGCTGCTACAGCGAGGAAACCAAACTGGCGGACTGATGCGGCTCACTCAGGGCGGGATCTATGCTGCTGATAGGGCAGATCAGCACCAGTCGTGGGCGGGGCTTCTGGAACCACTTGTTTGGAGAGACAGTTTATGATTTATGGGGATTGGAAAAAAAAGGAGTGGGTGGATTTCTACCATTATAGGCTGATTGTTTAACACATCTGTGTTCAAACTCTTATAAAAGTGAATTTTGCATAATAGGTCCCCTTTAATGTTAAAATTGTTGGCAAGTGTGACGCTAATCAATTTTAATAGCAAGAGAACAGGAAGAAATGAGTAATTGAGCAGATTGTTCGTCACGAACAGTAGCACTAACCTGTGGCTCCTCTAACACCACCCATCGTTCTGTGACCGTCTGAAGGTCCTGCCCAGCCAGTGGCTCTCTGAGACGCACCTTCACCTCCAGACGACTGCCTGTGGCCTTTCGCCCATCCATAAGCTGCATACACAAATGTAAACATGGTGATGGGTGTTCATGGTGTGTGAATGTCCCATTTTAGTTCCAGTTGATCTGTTAAACACACGTTTGCTATCACATCTGAGGTTTGCACTCTCGTCTCCAGCTCCTACGCACATGCTATTCAAAAACAGCCCCGCTCACCTCCACTATTTCTCTCACTTCACTTTCAGCTTCCAGTTTCTCCAGTTTGAGGTGGGCTGTTCCTACCGGCTTGTCGCTCCTCAGGAAGCCACTGTCACAAGACAAAGAGGTCAGTGTGAAGCTCAGCTCCACCTACTCACACTGACCCAGAATGCACCACAGCAGTCACAGAGTTCAATCAGGCCAGCACAGGTCAGATGTTTCTCTAGACCTGTGGGTCCCTCCAATACAAATGAAACTTAAAGAGCATATTGCAGGTAAAAAAAAAAAAAATCTAAATTAATATATAACCTTGTATGAAAAGTTATTGCAGGATTTAAAATGTTTTAAAACGACATAAGGGCACTAATTTAGTAGATAAAGTGAGCGTTTCTTGGACTGCTCGTAAAAACGGCTTTTTTTCAAACATCGCGTCATTTTACGTCACGACAGGGAGCCTCAGCTCAGTGCAGAGTAGGCTGGTATTCAGTGAGAGCGGTCGTCAGTCAGTGTGTTTTCGGTAGTTTTTCTATTTCAATTTATCATCGTCATGGTAAATTAGTGTGTTTGTGGAGGTTGCAAAAACTCCGGCCTGTCAGGACATCGAGTCCACAGGTTTCCGTAAAAAGAAAAAGGACGGTGCTGTATATCTTTCGTGCCTGGTGCGGTTTGTGCAGGTGAAGAGACGGGATTTCTCTTTCACATCGGCTTCGAGAAACGCGGTCGTGTGTAGCGTTCACTTCAGATCGAAGGATTATCATCCCGGCGATATGATGGAGTTTAACATGGGATGCCGAAGCAAGAATATTGATCGTCTTATACTGTACCAATGGCATCAAATAGTGTGATATAGGTAGTCATGCCCTAAATACAGGCAACTTGTAATTGAAAAACAAAATTACTCAGATTGTTTAAATATTCAAATCTTTAATTTTCTGTTTATGTTATAACCCAGGTGAAAAATATGTATTAAAAATGTACTTGAGTATATTTGTATTGTACTAAAAACATACTCAAGTATAGTTTTTATACAGTTAATAGTAGAGCTGGGTTTCGATTCAAATTTCAAGAATCGATTCGATTCCGATTCTCAAGATCTTGAATCGATTATCATTATTCGATTCGATCCGATCCGATCTGATCCGATTTTCGAGATTTAGATAAGTGTTTTTGTTTTTTCCAGCTGTTACCTGAATTCAGTCCCGGCGCCATGGGCGGGCATTGGGGGGCCTGGCCCGCCCTGTGAGTCACTAGTGCCCGCCCTGAGCGAGTCTCTCCCTTCACCAACTCCACTTCAAGTCCCACCAGTCCTTGCTTGTTTGCACAATATCTTTTTTTATCAATAGGCTACTGTTATCAAAAGTTATCCTTTTGAATATACATAACTCCTGAATAAAAATAAAAATGTGTTTGGTCTGATTTTTTTCTAATTGTAAACGGATTGATTGGTTTGTCGATAGAGAGCGCGGAAATGCATGTGATAGCGGTCTTATTAAGCGAGTCATTCATTCAAACGTTTCGTTCAAACGCCATAGAGAAATGCACATTTCATACGGATTACATGAGCAGGGAGCAGTCTGTAGTCTGTTTTCTTTCGTTTTGAACTGTTCTGTTTAAAAGTAGACATGTCTGTGAGCCGGGCTACCTTATACGCCTACACGAGTTTCGGTTCAATTGCGACGAGCTCCAGTTCACGCGCTGGCGCCTCCGGTTCGTCATTATCGTCTGCTATATTTACTTCTTATTTATTAAATCCATCCAGGCAATTGGTTGATGAAATATTGATTAAAATTAAGATACAATTAATACAAAACGAAATTCACTTTAAAGAAAGGTTTTGCTTTCTGTTTGATGTCTCTGTGAAAGTTTTAAAGCATCTTTTAGTGCCGCTTTTTTTCGCATTGTTTTTTCCTCAAATGCGAACACGAAAAATAAAATGAAATGAATATTTTATGCTCTGTGGAGACTACTGTTAGCCTACTCATAATTTGTATTCTGAATACGTAATACGTTGTATTACTTTGAATGAGTGTTTATGCTTTCGAGGTTTTTAAATAAGCTTGATATGTGTTTGGGAAGATGTTTATATTTTGTTGACATGTCGAGTTTTTTCGGTATTATATTTAGTTTTTTTGGCTAAACAGCACAAGACTTTAATTAAGTAGGCTAACCTTAGCCATTCTGTTTGTGCTGCGTGATTTAAAGAAAAGTGCGCTCTTGCTCACACGATCAGCATGGTGATCTTGTGTTTTCTCCTAAAAAAAAGCTCAAAGGTTTATTTTTATACAAGTGAAGAAATTAGGACAAAAGTAGTGTAATTTTCCTATTCTATAGCTTAATATAAAATACGATGTAATGTAGACTGAGACTATAACAAGATGTTTGAGCCCTCTTTAGGTACAAGTCAATGCTTTTTCTTTGTTCAATGTGCACAGTTCATGGGGCGAAGCCGGTTGAATCTCTTAATTTTGAGCTCTCAATGTGCACCAGATTGATGCATTTAAACTTAAAATGTACAAAATTTTCTTGCGGGGGAGAACCCCCCTAGGGACAGAGGTCCACACAACATGGCCAATTTTTTTGAATAATAATTCACAGCACCCACTGATGACCTGAAAACACCTCTCAAACCTACTTAAAAAATTAAATCGAAATTTGCGGAGGCAGTGTGTAAACGTACCTTTAGCGTCAGTAGCCTATTATATAATTATTATGCTCTATCGATCATTGCATAGTATCATAATCGATTCTGTTATGATGCAATGAGGTTGTTTTCATTTGTGCCCCCCTGAAAAAAATGAATGCCCGTCCGTGAATTTGTGTCTGGCGCCGGGTCTGCCTGAATTACAGGACTGTAGTTATGCAACATATTGATACTATTAGGCTATTATAGACATTTAACTGCTTGTTTTGAACTTCATGCATGTGTATTGAATGTTAAACAAGTTCATAATGATAACAAACAAGACTGTTTATCGTGGTGATGTGTAGCCTACAGATGCTTCGCACAGACAGTGAATGAGAGAGATCGGCAGAGCGCGTGCGATTACCTGCGTCTGTCTTTGAAGTCATATGTATTCGTGAAAAAGGTTGCCGTGTCAAAGGAAAGCGAAATATTTGTCGTATCATCCTTTTAACGTTCACGTCACTCACGGGTATTTACCATAAATGCGCGTCAGGAGCAGCGCTGGTCAGCATTCCACAGCGCGAGGAAGCCGCGGGGAAATAAAATCAGCGAGTCACGCATTGAATCAATGCCATATTGGTCTCTATCTCTAATAAGTGAAGCATCAGCTTCAGCGTTACCCATGCGACGCATTGCTGCTCAGCTGAGCCTTGAAAAGTGGAACTCAAAGTTAAAAATAATTAACACCTTGTTTCATTACATCTCTTTTAATGAATCAGCTTTTTTGAACGTGTTCGTTTGAATGAACGAATGACTCACTTAAAGCCCGTTGTTGTAACAGTGTGCGCGCTGAGTGAAAGCCTTTCAATGCGCATACAGGGATCTCCCAGTCGCGGCAAGTTAAAGTTCACGGGGAAAATGTAAGCGTATTATTAAATCGATCCTCTGAGTTACGGATCGATCTTTAGAAATTAATATGAAAATCGATTCAGAATTGGTGAATCGATTTTTTCAACACAGCCCTAGTTAATAGTAACGTTATATACCCTAAACATACTCATGTCTGCTGGCCTGATATACGATGGTAATAATCTGTACAATATTGTGAACACAGTGTATATCGTTAGTGAACGTGTGCATCTATAAGCTAACACTGGTCTCTCTCACCAAGACACTGTCCTGTTCTCCACTGGTTCTCCTCACACCACAACTCAATTGGCTTTATGCACAGCTTCACTACTTCCTGAACTTCAGCCAGCCCTTTGTTTCCTGTCTGTCATTATTGGACAAACTGATTAATCCAGGTGTGCCTGGCCTCAGTAACAATAATCAGGCACACCTGGATTAATCAGTTTGTCCAATAATGACAGACAGGAAACAAAGGGCTGGCTGAAGTTCAGGAAGTAGTGAAGCTGTGCATAAAGCCTATTTGTCGCTGACCGTTATGTCTAACATTAATCCTGCTCTCTTGGCAGCATAGCAGGCTCATAAGTGTATGGATGTGGTCCGTCATACGAGTAAGTATTTCCTCAGCGTCAGAAATGTCATTCCGATCCATTGTTTTCCTGTTGTCTGAATCGACCGCTCTCCCGCCCGTTACGTCACGCCCATTTTCAGATGCGGAAGTAAAATTCTCACAAAAATAACTCAAATGCATGTCTGTAGCGTATTTATAAGTATATTTTAAAGAAAATCTAGTTCCTACATTATTTTTCGATACATTGACTCGTTGGGTCCTCTAACCTGCAATATGCCCTTTAAAGAAACTATGTACTATATTTTTTGTCAATATCCTAAAATTAGGATTATTTGGAGATAATTGTTGTCTGAGGAACACTCACCCTTTGTGCAGCACTTCCAGCTTCAGGCCTTTAGACTGTACAACTCTCCTGAAGCCACGGTGGTTACGGTTGATGTTCAGTTTGAAGCTCTGGTTGTACTCTGCCAAAACACCAAATTATTCAACATATAACACCTTCAGCTGCAAATATTAATTACATGGCTCTCTATAATACTTCATTTTGGTGACCTGGGGTCAAATATTTTTGTGCAATGATCACTAAATAACTGTATATGTGTCCCAGCCAACCAATTTCCTGCATAGTTGTGTTAGTTTCATGTCTCTCTTACCACTCGGTGGTCTCCTCATATAATAAAACCTAAATTTTTATATATATTCATGTCTATTTATTTATTTGTTTAAGTATCTGTGTATAAAGCAGGATAATATTCAGATTGTCATAATTGCATAATAATCCTCCAAGTCAATTTTCCAAATTAATTTATATATATATATATATATATATATATATATATATATATATATATATATATATATTTTTTTTTTTTTTACATCAGTGCAATAACACTACTTATCAAAAGTTATGGTCAGTAAGTTTTTAAATACTTAGTTTATTCAGCAAGGATGCATTAAATTGATCAAAAGTGACAGTAAAGACTTAATATTACAAAATATTTCTATTTCAAGTAAATGCTGTTCTTTGGAAATTTCTATAAAAAAAATTCAAATCCTGAAAAAAATGTATCATGGTTTTGAAAATAAGCAGCACAACTTAACATTGATAATAATAAAATAAGCTTCTTGAGCAGCAAATCAGCATATTAGAATGATTGATTTTTTTTAATTGTAATAATATTTAACAATATTATTGTTTTTACTGATTAAATTAATGCAGGCTTGGTGAGCTTGAGATAATAATATTTAAAAAAAAATTACCCCAAACATTTGAACGGTACTGTATAATACCAAATATTTACTGATACAAAAATGAATAGCTAAACATTTTACCTGGGTTGTTGGTATTTTTGATGACTGATGTTTTATATTTCTGAGGTTGATCCTAAAGTGAACAGAGACAGTCATAATTAAACTCAAATGGATGACAAGGTAAAATGAAGCCTAGAGAACTAATACTCACTGTACTGGGGTACGGGAAATCGAACTTAACGTAGGCATCCAAGTCATTTGTTGCAACACCTTTCAAAAGAAGCAGAGGGGAAGACTTTAAAAGCAAGATACTTCCTTACTAGTATGAGGTTATTAAAGATTGCATTATTTTGTTGACATTTTATTTAAGTTCTGTTACTCAACCCGAAAGTTCCCAGGCGACACTCATACTAAAAAATGTATGCCTTAAATTGACTTTAAGTCACTTTGGATAAAATATATGCATAAATATACATTTGTTTAGTTTAATTTTTCAAGACCAGATGTTTAAAGCTTACCAGAGGGAGCAGGAAGGTTCATCCCTCTAACAATGACCACAACCATGTCTGTGCTACTGAGCTCCGGAAAGATCCTAGAAGAAAAGTCAAGAAAAAGAAAACAAATGATATTTGATAAAACTTCATACATTTCCCCTGATGGTGGTGTATAACAATAGTGAACAGTGGTGCTTCCTGTAGAAAATCCTCAGATCAAGAAACTGTATTAGGCTTTTTGTATTTTTTATTAATGTGAGATCTGCAGACCTGACAGTGCGATATGTTCTCTCCTCAAAGTGATGTTTAGGAGGCTGAAGCCCCCTGTTCTGCGCCAGTTTAAGAATCTCCAGGCTCTTCTTACACTGTTCACCCATCTTCTCAAATCTAAAAAAGGGAAAATGGGAATAAATGAAATGCCCGTTGAAATCGCTTGAATTTGATTTACTGAAATTGGGGCAATGATGCGATACATACTTGGTTGTTTCTGCAACATTCCCCATGTGTGTGAACTGCTTGGAGTATGTCACACATTTCTGAAAAAGAAAGGAAACATGTCCTACTCACATATCCACATCCTCTTAAAGGTCCTGTCCCAAAACCTAGTGAGCAACCTACTCGGACAACATTTCAAGGGAATCACAGGTGTGCTTCCAATTGAAATGCTATCCCAAAATGCTCTGTTACAAGCTCAGTGGAAAAATGCATAAGACGAAGCAAGGTATTGATTATAAACACTTATTTATACTAAATACATTTTTACCATTTCACCCAATATGTATTTTTATTCTAACTAGAGTATAGTTTTTATCTTAGTGTAGGGATTGAAGGGACAATCATTGATTCTCTTGTGGTAAAATCCTTAACTCACAACAGGAAAAGTTAACAAAGGACCCTAACTAACCCACATTCCTAGTACCATGTGGTCCCGTGATAAGGTCTCCAACCTTCCAAACTGGCGCCTAAAAGTCTAGAGAGCAAATGGACTTTCAAACATTTATGGTGACAAATGGTCCTGAATGTCCATTAAACAGCGAATTCCCCCCTCCTGAGACAACACCCAGACCTCTTCGTACCAGCCCGATTCATTCGCGCGGCACGATCAAAGAGGACCGTTATCTCTAACACCCCTCTCCGGCGAGAAGGGGGGTGCCAGATGTTCAAATGAAGATACGCACACACCTATGTTCACACACACACATACGAACCCTAAGTTTTTATCTATAAATCGGCATTAAAACAGAGTTGGTGTATTAAAATACCTGCAACAGAACTATAAATGTGCAAACATGTCCTACGAATGTTTTCATGAATGTAAGACACTTATAAATACCTGAAAGTGTGCATTAAGAGGTAACTCTGCAATATGATGTCTGTGATGTGTGATGTTTGATATGTTTGTGACCCTAAAAGTCTGATCTATTCATTAAGCTGTATATCGATAGCGTGAAATATATATATCTACCTATATATGCCATTTCCAAAGTAAGCTTAAGGCCCTGCTGGTCATAAAGATGCAAATTGATTCCGAATGACCCACTCGGGGGGGCGTAGGCTCTCTTCAAGATGGGCCATTATCATTGGCCGACACACCTATCCAAGGCGTGTTCTGTTTATCTTTAAAACCCCAAACTCAGAGACATTGGTTCTCTGTTCTCTGTTCTCTGTTCCTGTATCCCGATGTAATCTTCGTGTTTTATTTTGTTCCTGTTTTATTTTGTCTTCGTTTTATTTTGCGCATAGCCAGTCTGTCCTTAGTGCGGTCCTCGAGATACCCACGTGCGTTTTGTTAGTCTTCCAGCATCCCAGCGAAAGGACTATCTTCACGCATACAGAACTGCGTTAGAACTTTTAAATCTCCCGCGACAACCACGCTTGGAGGAATCAAAGAAGCCCGCCTCCTATTCCCAGGACGCCACGAGCTCGCTTCCACACCACTCTAACCAGGTCTGAATGCAAACTGTTCCATCTAAATTTAGACGCTCTGAAGTGTGTATTCTGTAAGCTGTCTCTGAGGACCTAACTGTGCTAGCAATTGTGTTTTTCCCTGTGTTTCTACCTTATTTTCTTATTGTTTAAGTTCATTTTGGTTTCATATATATATATATCTTTGTTTTACATGTAGTGTAGTTCATTAAACCTCATTTATACTTTATTGCCTCTGTGTTTGTTGTTGATCACATAACAAAGCCTCTTTAATATAAAGATCCTAGCTACAATCTGATAATTGTTAAGTGCACAAAACATTGTCAGTAAATTTAAGCTAAAATAAGACCAGCAGCCATTGGTAACCTCTAGCGAAACAGCGCGGCGGACGGGCTGGCTTAGAAAGAGATATCAATCGCTGTGGTAATTTTAAAGATCAGTCATAGCCCTCTGTGCGGGATGTATATTCATAATTAATCATAATTCGTTGTGTTAATTGTGGTATACATGCCCTGAACAGACGTATATGCTGTACAACCCCTGGTTGGGTGATTTATCTATGCAAGGACTCGGTTCAAACTATATTCGATAATTTGTTGATCAGAGATTAATAACTGTTGAATATTTATCCCCAAAATCAAAATTGACTAAAGAGCTTATGAACCCCAGATTCCTTACATATTTATGGTGGAGAATGCGGGCAATATTTTAAGCTTTGTTGTGTGAGCAATTAATGCAGTGTCAATTTGGTATACTTTGTTGTGTTTTGGATTAAGAAACGCGAGCGCGCCGCGCGCCGCGCATGTTGGAAGCTGAAAGTCGAGTTTCAGCCGAGCACATTACAAACTTGCTAAATTCGTCTAAACGTTTTAGTCATTGTAATTGCTAAAAATAAATTGTAATTCATAACAAAAGAGATATTACCTCTGTAAAGACGTTTACATGTTAATATATGTGCTTTTGGAACCGCCTGCTTGCAAAACGAGAATCTTTTGAGCAGAGTCGAAGAGGATCTGAATTATAGCGATGCTCCTGTAATTCAACCTAACAAGGCCTGATTTTCTAATCGTTAGATTAAACGAATTAAACTCCTGGTTTTAACTTTTGATTTAGCTAACCAAAAGGTTAAACCAGAACATTTCAATCATTAAAGTGCTAAATGATAAATGTATTGGGAGTTAAACCACAGACGTAAAATCCTGTAGGTCCGGTTACACGTAAATGCAGTGAAATAATTCTGCCTCGTGAACCCGTGAAACATAGCACCGTAAAATCCGCCTGAATCTAAATTGTGTGCAGTTAAGATTTGGCGCGCCCCACAAAGGTACAATTGAAGCAGTGTGGTTGTGATTCTGTTGCTGAACACTAGAGCGCAGCCTTGCGCCTCGGTCTCAAATCACCGCCACACCCTCTTCATCAACGTGAGCGCAATAGCGCCACCGTATGGACGCTCACACATAAGGTCACTCTTTCCTGAATTTTCTTTTCTAAGTAATTTCTAATTCCTCACAGGAAGTGACTCACGGAAAAGACGCCCTCTTCAGGGCCTCCAACGCTGAGTCAGTTCCTTGTGATCCTTGCATTCTGTTTGAAATTTCGGTCTGTTTTCAGTTGGGTTTGTTCTAAGGCTGTCATTGATACTTTATAGCGATCGTGATTAGCATTAGAAATAATCCCATCCGTTAATTTTCATAGTCTCATTCAGATTTGGTCTAAAGAAAAACTTTAAAGGTAAAACTGAATTAAATTCTCACTTCACTTTATGAATTAGGTTACGAATAATTCCACTTGATTTCGTTTTCTGTCCAGATAAGTTTATTGATTGTCCCTCAGATAAATCAATGTCTTATTAAACATTTTTACCTTTTCTCTTTCTCGATAAATTAATGAGTTTGATAATTTGTTGTAATAAGTTGATAACTTTTATTAATTGTCTTTTCTAAAAAAAAAAATTTTTTTTTATTAATTTTTTTTTTTGAAAAAAAAATATATTTTTATTTTCTTCCAAAAAAAAAAAAGAAAAGTTTGTTTTTACTCTCCCCTGCCGTCTCTTAGTGATATTTCTATCACGACTGCACGCGTGCTATTTTAGGTGTTATTCAACATCTCCGTACACGCTTAGTTGAATTGAATTTACACCAGTTGACTTGCAATTTCAATTAAGTTGTTTTCTACCAGGCTAACCACTGGAAAGTACCCCCTCTTGTGGCTCAAACCCGCCACTACAGCGTACTTACTCCTGTGTTTATCCTGCCTTACTCACTAACCCTTCTCCATAGGTTATTCTGATAACTGACAACAGTGTCACAAATCCCTCTGTTTTCTTCACTCGCATTAGGCAACAAGGTTTTGTATTTCCTACACACACAGATACTCCATTTGGTTTAGACAAAGTAAGCTTTAAGTAATTTTAGTCTCACTTTCCTCTATCACATTTGGTATCCACAGGTAGAACTCCCTTGCGCTGGTGTGATCTGACCGTCATTCCTGGTTGGTTTCCAGTGAGCGGGGCTGTCTGGCCGGCGTAACCAACGCTTGCTGTGGGTGAGTCACGGAACTTCCTGGCTCTCCATTGGTGCGGCACGCAATAAGACATCAGCAATTTGGCGCTCCCAAAAGGGGAAGACCCACCACGCAATAAGACACAAGGCAATTTCGGACACAGTACTCAAAGCGGACCGCTCGAAAGAGGGTTCTGAGGAAAAGTCCTCTTTGCAGTGTCGTAAGCAGGTGATCTCCCCGGGAGTGCCGGTTGTGTTAAAGTCTAGGTTGTTTGAGAGGGCGCACCGTGGTTGACGTACAGTTGAGGCCGTGGACACCCCGGTTAAGTGCTTGGAGCGACGGAAAGGTTGTCCCCGACACTGGCTCCAGCTAGCGTGATTTCAGGTCACCCCAAGCAAGCTAAATTAAGGTAAAGAAAGGTCATCCCCTTAGTATAAGCCACCAGAATATTACATATTCTCACGTGACATGTAAGAGTGTCCACCCCATTTCTAAAGAAAACCACACATAGTCGGCTCAAGCCCTCTTAGTTCCCGTAACTCTTTCTGTGCTACTGTTTACTCTGTTTTAACAGATCCACTAATTCCTATTGTCTAATCTCCCTTTAAGTTTTTGTTTTTTTTTCTTACTATTCTTCTGTTAGTTCTCTCTGCCTTGTGTGAACTGTGCCTACCAGGTCACCCAGAGACGAAGCCTACAGAGACACCAAAGGAGAGCTGAATAACAGACTGACAGCCGAGCCGGTAGCACCAACAGTGACCTACTAGGCTCCGGCCCTGTCAAATCTTTATTTAGGCCCTGCGCTGACCTAAACAATTTGTCCCTACCTAACTGTCTGCAACAGTTAGTCAAAGTACCGTAAACGGCTTCGCCCGTATTAAGGGTATAAGCGCATAAATTGTAGAACAAATTTGCATTTGGTCTGTGTGTGCGTGTGTGTGTTGTGCTCCTCTCGCCCGCAGTGAACCAGTATGTCCCGGTCTCCCAGCCCAGCAGCCCACTGGGACAGCCTCGAGACATGGCTGAATGCCATGACAGCCACCGTCCTGCCCAGGGATACCGGCGACTCCGAGCCCCGGGATCAGGCGCAGCTGGACACTGACCTGGA